GCTCTCGCTGGCGGAGGCTTCAGAGGCCGCCACGTGGTGCCGAGCAGAGAACGGCAAGACCAGCAGCAAGATGAAGTAGAATAGAGCTGCCGTGGCGGTGGCCATTGAAGCGCCAAACGGGAGGAGAGCGAGCGAGCAAGGAATGAAGGGCGGGGAGGGGGGAATAAGTAGAGAGAGAGAGGATAGGGAAGAAGGAGAGGGTGGCTTATATCTGAGTTGGTAAAGCTATTATGTGCGTAAAGTAAATTGGATTTGGACCACATCGGAACATTGTATCCGATAACTCAAATCTACCTGCTTTAGATCCCAACTTAAAGCATCACCGGCAGTGAAAGCAGCAGAATGTCCTGCCAAGTCAAAGCTCGCCATGAATTGAAGGCACGGATCGGAGAGTGCTCGCGCGGAGTAACTAAGATGGCACAGTGCGGGGCGAGTGAATGTTCGCCTGTACCAGTCATACAGGAAAGGAAGAGTGGACGAGGCACTCGGCGGCGAGGCGTCGCCAACCTCGTCCGCGGGTGAGCTTTTAGGGACGAGCACAGCAACAAGAGACAAGAATTACAAGTGTTGCTGACAGCGGAAGAGTTGTATATGGGAGCTCAATTTCCGATGGCGAAAAGATGCGGAGCCATTCGGTCGCTGCCAAGCTCGACAGAGAACTAATGAAGAAAGGTGTTGGACCACGCACGTTCTCGGTTGCTCCGGCCCTCGGCCACCCTTCGTCTGTGAATCTACCGCATGGTGGCCTTTCAGATTGCTTCAAGGGATTCACTTCACTGGGTTTAACTAACCCATCTCAGTTGCAGGTACTGACTTGGGTCCATTCGGTCGATGGCGAGGGTGAGGATGATGACGCTGCCACCGAGTTGGGCACTGTTAGTTTCGTGCACCAGTGAGGTCGTCCGGCAATACGTCTCGGCTGACCTGCAGCTATCAATTCCTCGACGTAGTCGACTCACGAGAAAATTAATTGCCCATGCAACAAACATCAGCTCATCTGAGGACGACATGGCACTCTGTCTCGCATCGAGCCACCCATCCACCGAGAGAGAGAGAGAGAGAGAGAGAGAGAGGCCGTAGTGGTCGCTCGTCGTCCCCGGGAGCCAAACGAAACAACGCGTTATCGGCACCGATGGATTCTGAGTCACGCGTCGCAAGACGATAAGAAGTGGTAGAGGGGGACCTCCCGAGGTTGAAACCGCGTGGAAATGGAGC